ATTTGATATCAATTATATCCAGGTGCAGGGAAGTAATATCGTTGCATTGGGAATCGATTTAAAAGAATTGTATCCGTCGGTTGAATGGGACATACTGGAAGTTCCGGCAGGTCGCAATGAAGAATACTATCCCGAATTTTCTGAACCATTTTCAGATATTACATTCAAGTTCACATTGAGACGAAAGACGTTATTCTATACAGTTAACTTGATAATTCCGTGCGTTGCTCTGACATTCCTTACAGTTTTGGTGTTTTACTTGCCTAGTGATTCTGGGGAGAAGGTAAACCTTTTTTCAAAGAAGTCTTTCAAAATGCATTCTAATTTAAAATGAGTTCTCTTCTTGTGAAACTAGGTCACTTTGTGCATTTCAATTTTGGTGTCGTTGACTGTGTTCTTTTTGCTTTTGGCTGAAATTATTCCACCCACATCACTTGCAGTTCCTCTGCTTGGCAAATATTTGCTGTTTACCATGACATTGGTATCGTTGTCTGTTTGGACAACGGTGTGCGTTTTAAATATTCATTTTCGGTAAGCGAATGGGTTTTTTTCTGGTACTTTGTAGAAACTATTCTGAAAATTCAAATTTTATTTCTACTCAATAAAATAAAGATCACCGTCTACACATAACATGTCATCGTTTGTGCGAAAATTTTTCTTGGAATTTTTGCCAAAACTAATGATGATGCGACGCACTAAATACTTAATGCCCGATTACGATGATAACGCACCATTCCATGGATATATCAATGAAATGGATGTCAGGTTGGAGCAAAAAAAAATCTTCTTTATATTAAAACTACTTCATGCATTTTTTTTATTGCAGAGATAGCATGAGTGATTTCACCAGTGACTATAAAATCGATGGTCAAGATGGTAATTTTGAAAATATTGCTTCAAATGTGCCACATACATCTGGTAAGAACTCTCCGTTCGTTCTTTGCTCATCATCATCCATCATGTCTTACGTTTACTTTTTACTTTGGTTTCATCATAACATTTGATGTTGTAAAATTGGCACGTTCATCATCGTTTTTAGTTTGAGAAAAAAAAGTGCATAAGTTTTTCTTTTCGTTCCGTTTGAAATTTGTTATCTTGTGTCAAGTTCGCTCGAGAAATAAAGACCAACCGTATGTGACATTCACATTCTGAAACATTTTATTATCGAGTAATTGAATCTGTTCCCTTTTTTTCGTTTCGACAATGATTGAACATTGTTTAGAGTCGAATGTGCAGAATTTTTTCCTGGCAACTTCTATGAACGCACAAGTCTGCATGAAGACTTTGATTTAATAAACCGGAATAAATTAGATAGTTCGCGAAAAACCATTCATCAAATGCTCAATCAATTGTCAACTTGTTTAGTTTTTCTCTCTCTCTCTCTCTATTTTTTCACATCTCTTACTCATCTTTTCAAATAGAAAGTAAACAAACATTTATTATATATTGGGAAAGATGAGAATGTAATGTTTTGGCATGCATTTAAAAAAACGTTTCAATCTCTTGTTTTCTGAACGTCATTTGTGATTTAAAATCTATCTTAATCTCTGTCCTCTATACTTTCTCTATATGTGTATGTGTTTTTTAAATAATATGTCGTTACGGTGTACTTGTTGCCTGTTCTTCTTATTCGCTGAATAAAAAAAAATTAAATGCAACAAACTCCATCATGTATCAACATAAAAACAAACAAGTAAACAGACCAGCTTGAAATTAAAAATCTTTTTTCAAATTTAGATGACGTAAAAATAGCTTTGAGTGTGTTAACTTCTTTTCTCTTTTTTTTTTTTTTGCTTCAATGTTTTTTATACAAGGTTTGTAATGAAGAAATGTATTTCTAATTTATTTTCTTTCTCATCGAATTTCGGACAAAATTGCAGCTGATTCTGACTCAGACAACATATTTCCCCGGAAATTGACGCCAGACGTGTTGCAGGCATTACGTGGTGTTCGATTTATTGCTCAACATATAAAAGATGCGGATAAGGATAACGAGGTAAATTATTATTGCTTCAAATATCTAATAAGCTATAACAATATGTTCGTGCTTTAGGCTGTTCAAGAGTGGAAATTCATTTCGATGGTTTTGGATCGATTTCTATTGTGGTTGTTTACAATGATTTGTATCGGCGGCACACTGGGCATCATTTTTCAAAGTCCATCGTTGTATGACACGCGTAAATCTTTGGCACAGGAACTTAGTGAAATTGTCCTCCATGCGGATGGTGCAATTGATAGCCGCAAATTAACTATTTTTGACGAACCTTTGGGCACTACATAAATTGTCAAAAGCAAATTCGCTTGATACACTCAAGTTTTACTATTTGTATTACACATATGTTTTCTCAAGGAAAAACAAAATAAATCAACATAACGGCAATATATTGTTAACATTTTACCATGGAGCACAGAGAGAGGCAACGTATTTACCTATTGATAGAACACCAAAGCAGTATTCATTTACGTAGATCGAATTAGTGAAATAAAAATACCAACAAAATGATAATTGAAATGATGTTACACTTACAATAAAAATATATATACGAATTAATTTCGGTGCTGTTTCATTACAAATATAGAGATTGAAGAAATCTAACTTAAACTTCTCAACAGTTGAGATAACTTAATCTAATTTTGATATTGGAACCAGGGACCGGGTCGCGTATAATTTTATACTAGCATAAAAAACGCAGGCAGTATAAATATACAAAGTATAAATGCAGACGCAACGTATCCATCGCCTTTCGTTATGTATGAAGCATGCGAATACATGTTCGTGTGTGCATGTGACCATTGAGAGACGCACGCACATACATTGTATTTACTGAGCGCAGCACAAAGCGAACAGCGACGGATATGTTGCGTCTGCGTTTATACAAAGTATAAATATCTCGTATGATTCTATATGCGACCCGGTCCCTGATTGGAAAACAACAAGGAGATTTATTCTATTCTTCATTATTTTTCTTCGGTTTTTCGCTTTTTTTCGTTCTCAAGAAGTTTCCTTACTGACTATGAAAAGAGATGTAGCAAAATAAATATGGATAAAAAAAATCAGCATACAACAACTTGATTGATAATTGGGTCGCCTGGAAATGTGATACAAGAAGGATTTCGATTCGAAATGATTGCAGCTGTTTGTTTAAGTTCAAATATACATTTGGCTCAATGAAACGATTGAACGATACCAATGCAAATTTCTGAACAGGCAAAAACTTCAACACAAACATCATCTGTGCTTTCTTACGCTCCTCAGAGACATGCAACAACAATCATGAAAACAGTTGTAAACCTATTTTGAATTTTAAATTCATATCTTTCGATAAAATTGTTTTAGAAGTTTCTCAGTCGTGTTGTTTGTGTTTTACATTTAAAAGTTATGTTTAATTCATAAGCTGAATCGTGCAAGCCAAATGTGAATAGTTTTATTGGCAAAATTCACAGCAAATCGTACTGAAATTTGTCGATTGGAATGAGATATATATTTTTTTCCGCTACTTTCTCTTTCCAGTTCATCAAGTTGTTACGAAATTCGCATTCATTCCAAAATAAATTAAAGTTGAAAATTCAAATAAGAATTGCATACTTAAACTGGATTAAATTCCTTTTTGTTTAAATAAATACGATTTTATTCAATTATGTCGCAAATACATTTATTCATTTTACAACATTTTTATATTCTTGTTTCTTTTTAAAAAATCGAATTCAAAACTATGTAACAAAAGTCATGCCAATTGTTACCCTATTCGTTCAATGAAAATTTTGCAGTAGCAATTCTTCTATTTATCTTGGACACGTTCTTCGTTGGGACTTTCTGTCGCATTTTGACCTACAACATCTGTGCAAATGTGTCGACTGGCTGTGGTTTCGAACACGTATCCATATGATATTCAAAAAAGTAATGCAAAGCATTGAATGCTAGGGTGGGTTAATTTCGCTGCCTTCAGACGCATGGTCCGTTGCCAATGTAACTGGTTCGACTATTATCATTCTTAGATGAGATGTTTGAGATTTTAAAATATCTTTTTTCTTAAAATAAAAGGATGGAGGCATTGGGTAGTAAACAACTTGCAAGTGCAATCAATGGTCTCGTAATTTTGGTTGACTATGTGGCAATATCCAGTTGTACGAAGTACGTAGAAATGTATCGGAAATCATTCCATCAATTGGATATTATTTGGCGAAATTCATTACGAATTTTTATCTCGATGTTAGTCAAATTGAATTTATTGCATTTGGATTCGGTGCTCATATTTCCGGTGACACGAGTTGTACATTAAATGGTGCTATTAATCGCATAACAGGTAATGCATATAAAAATGACACAATATTCGATTTCAATGATAAAAATGAATATTAATTAGGGCTGGATCCAACCGCTGATAATTTCAATGGAGGCGGTATGAACAAAACTTGCGCCTCATTTGTGCAAGTATTACACACCGATACACAAAAATATGGAAACCAAAGTTTACGGACTTTTATGCAAGCAAATATAGTAATAACCAACCTGGATGCACGCATAATTACTGTGACCATACCAAACCAATTTATTACTAGTTTGCGTCAACGTTTTCGCAATATGGATTTATTGCGTTCGAATAAGCCCATTTTAAGTTGCATAAGTCGCTTTGGTATGATGGTAAAAGTGGTGATTTCTGTGTTAATGTGGCAACTTGCTTCCCATATGCTCCTTAAACTATTATCACAACAACAGCGTGTGCCTATAGATGTCCAATACTTCCATCATACCCCTATCCACCACCAAAAAGACGAATAAAACGAAAACCACAACATCGAACATCACATAATCAAATTGTCGAAGACTGTATCGCCGAAAGCCAACACCGTGTCCATGTCGGTGCCAATGAAAATGCAGACGACATTGCAAATGCTGCTCCAAATGATAAATTGACATGAATAAATTGATCAACTACTGATGACCAATAAAAATATGTTTTTTTGCTGATTAACCAAGTTGAAAAATTATAACTATGAACTCATATCGAACTACATTTCAGTGTGAAATGTATGTGTGTATTTTCTACGTATCCTAAAATATCATTCATATAAATGTGGTTTTAAATCTTTCTCAAATGAAGAATGAATCAGTAAATCATCGTTTAATCACGATGTATACTAATGCAAAATTTTGATTATCTAGATAATTCTCTAAGATAACTCGTCGCACTGTATACTAGGTTATGAGTTTTCTCTTTGGTTGATAGAGTTTTTGAGTTCTCCGTCATTACATCAATTGATGGTAGTTCTCTGGCCTTTGAGATAAATTTTAATGCGAAACATGCCTGTTTTCAAAATAAATGTATCAAACATTTTGGTTAAAAGAATATCTGTAAATTTGTTACCTGCAAGTGATACGTACATTAGGTTATGCTTCATTCCAAATGGTATCTAATACAAAATAATAGAAGTAAATATAAGTAGTAACAACAGTAATTAACAATATAAATGTTTTGAGTGCCCCGACAAATGCCATCGTTGGATGTTCATTGTTCAATATTCAATATTTGCTTGTAAAGCAGTTCGACGAGATTATTCTTGACACGAATACCAGTGTTATCATCTAAAAATGGATATGCATATCTGTAACCTAAAAATAAAAACAACGGGTGAACAATTAAACCAAAAAACGTATTCACTTAATTACCCGTTGCATAGATAACAACTGAAAAATGTTCGTATGTTCTATCATTTAACTCCATATTCTGTGAAACTTTTAACTTTGCCTTTAAACGAAATACATTCTGAACTTGCTCCAGGATTACTGCCAACATAAGAAATCAAATTTATATTACTACTAGAAAAGTTTCGATGAATTGATCTTAATTCAATGAAAAATTATTGAAGAAATAACATCTCAAGGGTACTGACACGAGTTCAATGTGTACTTACGCGTAGCAAACACGTCTGATAGAGAGAATGTGTTATTAACAAATAATCAAAATTCTTTCTCTTTGGAATTTGCAATTTTGAGTAATACCAACACGTGAATATTCAGTACACAAAGGTATAAAAGTTTGGTAAACTGAATTATGAATTCAATACATATCTTGAGAGAAAAACAAAAAGCATAAGAAGTGCCCTTATTTTATATAATTGCGGTGGAAAAAATGCTGAAAGAAAATAACAACGTTTTAAAATTTTACGTACAATTTAGAGATGTTGTTAATTACTTTGATGTAAAGAAAAAGTCGAAAAATGTCAAAAATAATTTCAACGTATACACTCGTATATAATCTGATGATTTCAATGGATAGAATTGTTTTATCATTAAGTTCGAAGCAGAAAAATATTGCATGTTTGGCTAGATGTTTGGATTAAAAAGCAAATAATTATAGTATAAAATTGAGACTCACATATGTACGCAAAAGTCATTGCAATTACACAATGACCATGAGACAACATTTAATTTAATTTACTAAATGCTAAATGTTTCATGTTTTTTTATCGAAATGTTATCAAAAAAATGTCGGTGAGTGTTTTCAAACTTGATGTTATAGACATTCGAGCGAAAGGTATCATTGTGATAAGATTTGTTAATTAAAATGAAACCCTCTGAAAATCTAAAGAAATATTACTATTGGATAGGAATTTTACAATATGAATCCCATCAGGGTCGAATTTTCACCTTCGCATTGAATTGTATTTTCTTAACATTTTCAATTATACAATTGGTCACAACATTTTGGTTTTTCTCATTCGATGCACAAAAGTTTGAAGAATTTGCCGGGTCTATGATAATGTGGCAATCTTCATTACTGCAAACATTATGGTATGTTATTTCATTAGCGTTTGGCGGAGGCAAAACATTCTTTCACTCTTCGCTAAGCTTGATAAGATTATTGAAGAAAGTAAGTACAAATACATTTTGTTTATTTTGCCAATCTATTGGCCGAAGTAAAACTCAAATTCTTTTGACATAGAAAGCAGCGATCCAAACGTTGATGTAATTTATCAAAGAAATAAATCTAAAGTGAATAAACTTACAACGAGAATCGTTCAAATTATGACATTTGCAATAGGGATTTTCCTCTGCATCCCAATAACAATTACAACGATCAAATATATCTTATCAGATTATAACACTCAAACATTTCAACAGATTTATTTGGCCTATTTATCTTTTCCGAATTTAGTTTAAAATCGATTTTATATTTTTTTCTTCTGTATATTTTAAAAGGTGTCCATTTGATACAAAAACA